GTTTCGCATGCGTGAACTTTGCGCGGCGAAAAGTGCGTAATAATTTAGAGCGTGCGCGGTTGACGACGATCCCGCCCGTCCGGAGTGTCGCTCCGAGATTTCAATTATGACGTAGTTGACTTTAGAGCTGATTTTAATCACGCGCTCAAAATTATACATGGAAAAAGGAGTGCTGTTGTATCAGTGATTAACAGCGCCGTAATTGGAATAAATCTCCTTTGTTCAGACACGGGCGCGATTAAGCTATCAAAAATAGTGAAAAAAGTGAGTTTCATCCTGGAAAAAGTTGGGCCATTGTGTTCTTCGAATCTTTTGTTTCGCCTTTAAAGAAGCAAGTTACTGAATATGGCTTCTCGCGACCGATTGGTTTTACCTTTCGAAAGTATTCGAGAATCGAGTATTGAGAAAAGTGTGAAAAGGGAGGTGTTTCGCAAGTAGTTAAACAAGTGAGGAGAAATGTGAGAAGTGAGTCGCTCCCATGTGTGTCCGTTCAATATCAAAGTTATCGGAATTAATTACTCGAGTTATCAAAACGACGTGTGATGCAGCAGTTTCAATAATATCCCGCTGTTGAATCGAGAAGAGATTTACTTCGATCACGTTGCCGTTGAGCGGTTCTATTGACACAACAGCGTGTTTCTTTCTCCCGTCCACGAATCGGCTGTCGTCCGTTGCGTCAAATGTCGCATTCATCCGGCCGAGGAGTGATCTACCGCACGCTAAATACATTCCTCGTCGAAGTGACCGTTGGCGAAACGCGGGGCGCGCGGTACGATTCCGATAAATCCCGACCGCATTAGTACGTGACATCGCGGTACATTATGGCGAACCGTCGGCGAAACAATAAGCGCCCATTACGAATTGATCCCGGCGCTCGGGACGAGCGGCGAATTGAAAATGATCATTGGAGAGACCCGTCGAAATCCGAGCTCGACTCATCGAGTCATCGTTGTGCTCCCATCGATCACCGATGTCTGACTGGCCGTCAACGAGCCGCCACTTACGGCTACACGTACGGCTATCCAAACAACAAGCACGGTGTCCACGACGCAATCGGAGATTCGACCACTTCCGTAACCGGCGGTCCGTTCGACGTCGTATCGCGGAAAAAGGGAGAAGTCCCAACGAGCGCCGCTGAAAAATTCATTCCCCCGGCTTGTTCGAGCGCGACGCTCGAGCAAAAGTAGTCTCGCTATCCCGCCGTCCAGCCCCGAGTCCTGAGTCATTGTACGCTCCCACGGTGCCCACAAAGGAGAAGTTTCCCTGAGACGAGACTTTAATTAATTGAAGCGATCCCGCACACTTTACCAGTGCGCGCGCACGCCGGCAGTTCTCATGGAATTTCTCTCGCCGACCCGGCCAACTTAGCCAGTTGTTGGCTGCGGTCGGAGGTGGATTCGACCTGACCGCTTCTTCCCCTTTCGCTTACTATCTTTCACTTTTACCGCCGCACTTTCGGCCCTGTCCACATATTATCCGCCTGTCCTTTTCTCTTTCCCTCCGTCTCTCTTTGTCCCCCCGTTGGTTGAGCCGCAGGGTCCGCCTCCGCTTTCCGCGACTGCGAGCTTCGCCTTTTCTCCCTTTCCTCGGGATATCAAGAGGTTGAATGGATCGTCCGACATTTATCTCACCGTTCTACAAATTACCGGCCCCGCTGGGAGCTAATTTTGTTTGCGATCAAATTGCCGCGTTTATTTTCACTTCCGCCCGATAGCGTCCCCCCGACGCTGTAACGGTAACAATTAATCGCGCCGCGATTAATCGCCCGCGTGTAATCCCCATGTAACTTTAATTATTCTATTATTTTTTCATTCTGTCGCTTTCTCGTTTTTTTTAGAGAGAGAGAGAGAGAGAGTGCAGAAATGCGCCCTCGACGAGCGCTGCCTCCACCCCGACCGTCGCTCGACGACGGGACATCGTGAGCGCGTCGACGTCTCATCACCGTGACGCACAAGTTCGCAAGACAGAAAGAGGCGATTATGCACCAGATCGAAGGTGAGGAGCGACCGTGAGAGTTTGATCGAAAATGCTCGCGCGTAGAAAACCGTCACGCAGCGTGCGAGCCGCGCCGTCTGGCCCGGCCGGTGTCGGCCGGCTGTAAATTTAATCCCGAATATGGATCGCAGTCCTAATCGCATTTGATTGTTAATTCGATCCAGCCCGATATTCGCCCGACGATTGGTAACGAATATCTAATTTACGCCATGGTCGAACGGCGGGATAATCCACGAGCCGATCGAAAATAATCGGAGCGTGTAACGTACGCGAAGGCGGGACGGAAGGGCAGGAGGACGGGGGGAAGTGGAATCTGGTTCAAGCACGAAATCGAAATTCGCTGTTATTTCATCCGACGCTTTTATAATTAAAATCCGCCCGATCTTATTCACCGGCGATGCGTTTTCAATCGCGAAGGGATTAATTTCGCCGTGGACGCGTTATCCCGGATATATAAAAAACACCTGGCGGTCACTGCGAAATACACGCGATTACGTGCGGTTCGCCTTATTTATGCGCTATTTTCGCTGTTATCTTCTGTCCTTTCCGTCGCCAAGATCCTATTTTCATGACGAAAGGAAAGCGTGCACAAACAAGGATCGCAATCCGCGACGTCTGATCGCTTTGCGCCGAACGATTCGACCCGGGGAATCGTATGCGTCGGACAACGCTCGTTGCGGCGTTGGTTCGCGCGTGGCCACGATCGGCGCGGCTCTTTCGATCGTCAGCGGGAATCGGCTGGCAGCGAGTGGCGGGTGTATTTTCATTTTACGGACCGTCGAATGTGAATCGCGCGATTAACGCGTCCACACACGGCGGCCCGTCGCCGGTGTATATATGTATATGTATAGTTGCAAGTCTATAAATACCTAAGACTAATTATTCTAGAGGCTGTGATATATATATATAGAGAGAGAGAGAGAGAGAGAGAGAGAGTGGCTGAGAATGCGAAAGCCGGTTACGTCGTCGCCATCGTCATCGTCGTCGATATATCATAGAAGAGGAGGAGAGAATGCGATCCGACCCGGGCGGAATTTCCACGCTATCAGCATTTCAGCATCTTCCGGCTGGGAGACGCGATCGCTTCATCTTAGCCCGCGAAATCGCGATTATTCCGCGAATTCTCCTCTCGCGGAGGTCCACGTTCGGTATGCGCGTACGACGACGTGGCCGACTTCGAAGTACTTGTTTGTTCGTTTCTTTTTTCTGTTCTCGAGAGAAATGAAAATGAGAGATCGGCAATTATGCAATCGTTACTTCCTCTATAGCCTTCAAAGATCTGCGTATCAACTGCGTTCGAAAGTTATCGGGCGGCTCGACTCCCTTCGCGAACGGCCTCTCCACGCCGCGTCGCTCGCGATGGGAAATCCTCCTCGGTGAGTCGCGGGGAAGCGTGGAAGCGAGTCGAGCCGACGCGATACGTAAGTAAGTAAAAAGAGATATCTACGATCGGGGTCGGTAATTACGATGGATACAATATTTACAAATGAAAAATGTAGATAATATACATAGTACAAGTATATAAATATATAATATACTCGGCTCTTACTAGAATTCAAGTAAACGCATGCACTTCAGGGATTTTAATATATATATATATAAAAGAGATATATAGTATATATATTTATATATATATAATACTTTCGAATATAAGATGCGAAGCAACACTAGGATAAAAGTTACGTACCCTTTGATACTTTTTTTTTCTTTTTTGTTTCTTTTTTACAACTACATTTGCTATGAATAACGGAGCACGTGAAAAATAAGAGAGAGAGAGAGAGAGAGAGAGAGAGAGAGAGAGAGAGAGAGAGAGAGAGA